TAGTTTGGCAAATGCAATGTGTTTACCCAGTCAGAAGGCATGTAGGGTTTTTGAGATTAGTGTCTGGAGTTCAGATGTATGAAACTTTCCTTTCACATATCAAACATCTGTGTGGAACAGCAGCAAAACCTGGTAATTTTGGAAAAGTTTAGTGATGCATATTATGTTGACTTACACTTTGTGTGTTGAGACCAATATGCACCTGGCTGAAGTGAGTGGATGTGTTCATGTCTGTTGCTGCACCAGACCAATATAAATGGAATGTGAGGCAAGTATGGTCCAGTCAAATGGACCAGTGGTAGTTTCTATGTATTGGTTCTGAAACAGATCAGTACCATACCAACATTTTGCACTATGATAATGACAAAATTACAAAGCCTGGCTTTCCCCCCAGACAGGATCACACACACATCAAATACTATCCAGTATTTTTGCACCCAAAAACTTCTTCTTTAGCTTTGTTCATTCACACACACCCACACACACACACACACACGCAGGACTCTTCTCACTCTACGTGGCAGCCAGGCTAACGTTTCTTTTGTATTCCATCTCCATAACAACAGCTTGAGTGCTTCAGAGAGGGAGAGGGAGCGCCAGAGAGTTTGTGCCATTCACAGTAGGGATGGAGAAAGCGACGGCTGCAGCACAGCTCTGGAGTGTGTGTGTGTGTATGCGTGTATGCATGTGTGTGTGTGTGTATATGCAAGCATGAGTACTTGGGTGAGACACTCAGATGGTAGTGCTAGAGCTGGTCGCGAGTTGGGGGAGTGTGATGGGTAGAGAATTAAAGCAGAAGAACGGAGAACATTTACTGCCACACATGGTGAGAGAGCTGCTGCCTTTTATTTGATTTTGGCTGAGGAGATGTGGCTGTGTGTGTATGTGTGTATGTGTGTATGTGTGTATGTGTGTATGTGTGTGTCCGCCCGTGTGGGTGCAGGAGTTGATCTTGAGAAGTTATGTAACAGGCAGTAAGCAGACTGAGAAACTGGGATAGTTCTACTGCCGCTTCACTGCAGACAGGGGAGCGAGAGAAAGAGACTCATCACTCATTGATGGAAGATTGTGCAGGTATTCTATCATTAAGCAAATGAAATGAAGAAAACTGCAAGTGTTCATCTCCCAGTCTACTGTGTATTATAGAATTATAAGGATTAGTGTCTGGCAGTGCTTTTTAATGCATGTGTAGTCACTTGTGGTCAGTCTGCATGTCCGTTTCTGCACTGTGCTAGTGCCCTTGTGTGGTTTTGACACGCTGGAGTGGTTCAGTGTTGTTGGAAAGTGTAAACTGTTGGACAGAAGGTTGAGTTCAGATTCCCTCAGGAGCGCAGTGCGGGTGACTGAATACTGCTGCCGAGTGCTTTTATTCGGTTTGTCCTTGGACTTGTGGAGAAATCTCAGTTCAAAAGCATGAACGTTTTTGTTGCTGTACTGATGTTCTAATAATAATACAAGCAATGTGTTGGAGATAATGGCAAAAGCATAAATGATTAATCCTTTGACGTATATCGTTTTTGCTGTAATACTGTACACTGATATTATATAGGACTATGTAGTGAACAATATTGTGTGCTTTTACTGTATTATGTACTCTTTCAATGTAAGTAATGTAATATGCAATAGAGTAGTAATTACTTTTATGTATTTTATTTGTTTTATTTCTGTAATGGGTGTAACAGGTTTGAGTCAGCACTGTTTTTTTGTTTTTTTTTTCTCTGTACGATTGTGTCAATGACAAAATGGGAATTGCGGATCGAGGCTGATATATACGATATTTTAATGTACATAACTGTCAATACTGATACCAAAGCCAATGCGTAAACATTTATAAAATGTAGAAATTGGGATTAAAACCATCTGGATTAGCATTACTGACAAAAATAGCTTTTATTTCTGTAGGGTTACAGATGCAGTACAATGAATAAAATGCAGATATTTTTGCACTGCTGCCCAGCATCACCTAAACACACTGCTCTTCTGGAGTACAGTAAATACATCAAATATCAAAATATGTTAGAAATATTGATAAATATGTCTACCATTCTGATCATTTTTAAGCAGTTATCTGCTGACACCGATATGATGTTGATGTCATTGTGCATCCCTTACAAAAACACAGCAAAAATGTAAATGATAGTAAAATGAGACTCTGGACACAACAATCAAATTCAAACCATGATAAAATACCACCAAAAATGTGGTATTGAAAGTTTAGGATCTGCACATTGAGCAGAATGTCCTGTTTCAGTAAGTGTTAAATAGTAGTTCCGGTCACACTTTATTTGGATGGTCACCTATAGATGATCTACAGATACTTAAATCATCAACAAACTTTCTGGTCATACTCAGCTGAGTATCAACAACATTATGACTAGGGTTAAGTTTAGGAGTAGGTTTAGGGTTGAAGTTAAAATTAGGGTTAGGTTTTGGTTTAGGGTTAGATTTAATATAATCTTTCACACTCAACTTCAGCTTCAGTTGCATTTCATTGATGTTAAGTTGAATGTTAGTTTAAGATAGAATGAGTAACTACAAAGCATCTACAGTGGACCATCTAAATAAAGTGTTACTGTAGTTCCTGGTACAGAAGTGCGCTTCAGTAGATAACTGGAGGGTTCAACTCAGCATAGCATTTTCTCTGCTGAATGTTTGTACAGGCAGTCAGCGAGCTGCTGAGTGCTGAGGACTTCATATTTACTCTTTGATGAGTGACTGAGATGAGACAGTGTGTGTGATTACACCGTGCATTAACAGGTCCGGGTCATATTGGGATACTTTAACTTTTTATTAAAATGCGTCCCCAGTTTGGCCACATGAGATCACATTGTTCTTTCCCCACCATAAGAGGCACATCAACACATGTCAATTCTCTTTCGCTTTTGTTTACTTTTTTCCCCCGTTACGATACATGTGGAGAAGCTCGGCTTGGACACTTTCATTAGCACTGACTGAAAGCGGTCACTTGGTTTGGGGATAACTCCAGCCTTGCATATCCTTCTTCTTTCATTTCCTTGTTTATTCTGCTAGTCAGCCCTCGACAGATGCATTTCCACTCATGTAATATCAAAAACACACTCCATTTATGCTTGGCCTGAGCCAATTAACGATAGCATTGTCAGTCGCCAATACTTTCTATCTATCATGATTGTCAATCAAGTCTGACGATTAAAATGTGAGAAAATGCAGTGTCCGCGGCTTCAAGAAGCACAAACGTAATTGTTTGCTTCATGATTAGTTTTCTTTTAGCAAGTTCTCTTTTAATGTGTAACATTAGTCCATGTCTGTACGGACTGTAGCCTGCGCCTTAAGCTGAAAGACTGAAGATTCTCTTAATTGATATTCGTGGCATCCTTCTCCAGAAACCAGTTTCAGCATAGCAGGTTGTGGTAACAGGTTGTGCTTGCTTAAACTGGAGAAAATAAACATGCTTTCTGGTCAAACTTTGTTAGAAGCTAACTTGCATTGTTTTGTTGTAATCCCAAAATAATTGTATTTTCAGCCTGTCATATTCATAAAGGGTAGCCATTCAGCTTAATCAGTTTAAAAAGAATGCCAAAAAATGAGGTGGTGGACCTGATCTACGTCATGCTGCTGTTTTAAATGCGTCTGTGATACATTTACCGCTGCATTTTCATCTCCATCCTGATATAATCCTGATACTCATGTAATGACCAGGTGTTGACGGAGTCTTGTGCTCATCTTAAGTGGTTCAGTTAAAAATAGTTTATTGTAAAGGTTAATCGTTTTTAAAGGAAAAATATCAGATCAGTTTGTTAAGAGTGTGTGTGTGTGTGTCTGTGTGTGTGTGTGTGTGTGTGTGTGTGTGTGTGAGAATGGGATGGTGCACCTCATATGAGTGTGTGATTGAGACGGTGTATATGAATATGAGCCAGCAAGTGTGAATATAAGAGGGTGCGTATGATTGAGACAGTTCGTGTGATTGAGGTGGTGCGTCTGATTATAAGACTGTGTGTAATTGAGACGATGTGTGTGATTATGAGTTGGAGTGTCTGATTATGAGACTGTGATTGAGACGATGTTTGTGATTGAGGTGGTGTGTCGGATTACAAGACTGTGTAATTGAGATGATGTGTGTGATTATGAGGTGGTGCATCTGATTATGAGACTGTGTGAGACGATTTGTGTGATTTATGAGGTGGTGTGTCTGATTATGAGACTCTGTGAGACGATGTGTGTGATTATGAGGTGGTGTGTCTGATTATGAGACTCTGTGAGACGATGTGTGTGATTATGAGGTGGTGCGTCTGATTATAAGACTGTGTGTGATTGAGACGATGTGTGTGATTATGAGGTGGTGCGTCTGATTATAAGACTGTGTGTGATTGAGACGATGTGTGTGATTATGAGATGCTGCAACTCAGACTTGGCTCTCACTGTCACTCAGGCAGGTGTTAGACATGTTACACTGTGGTTGTTTCTTCAAGTATTGGGTTATATTGCAGTTATTGGGCTGTTTGGGCAGAAAAGCGCAGCTGCTGGGAGTGAGTGACAGGCCGGAAATGAACACTGTACCGTTTTATTTGATTTCCTTTTGGATTACAGGCAATCCCCTAAATGAGTCCTGGCATCACTCATATGAAATGTAATGCATTTTAATATTTGTGTCATTGCCTGTGGAGTGGTGGATTATGTGTTGAGAATATTACATTAACAAAGTGAGACTGGTGTTGTTTCTTTAAGCTAGATCCTGTGTATTATAGTGTGTGTGTGTGTGTTTGTGTGTATGTGTGTGTGTGTGTGTGAGAGAGAGAGTGAGAGAGAAAGAAGCTAAAATTAAATTCCTACTGTACTGTAGGCTTTACTCTGTCAGTGCTTCTTCCACTTGAGATAACTCTCCTGCCTTTGCTTTTATCCTGCCCTGCTGTTGCATTATTTAAGTCACCTCACGTGTAGGTTTCAGTCACTTAGCCTCTCTCTCTCTCTCTCTCTCTCTCTCTCTCTCTCTCTCTCTCTCTCTCTCTCCCTCTCCCCAACAGGCTAACTTGAAGAAGTTTATGGAATATGTTCAGCAGAGGAATATTGAGAAGGTATCAAAGTTTCTGGAGAAAGGGCTCGACCCAAATTTCCACGATCCAGAGACCGGAGGTAAGTCTTATAATCCTCACGTTATGTGAAGAGACCTTCATGATAAGAGGCCTCTAACTGGAGTGGCAGCTGCTTGCTCAGCTCTGACAGTCTTTGTCTGTGTGTGTGTGTTAGGGTTATTAGCAGATACTGAATAGGCTTGACTTTAGAATTAAGACAAAAAGAAAAGGTGCTTCAGCCAACTATAGGTGAGGTCACACAAAAGGAAGATGTAGAGAAAAGATGTAGAAAAGTTAGTAACCTGGCTTTCTTAAAATGTAAAACCCTTGCAGTTAAAGCAACAAGTCTTTTTCACAGTGCTCCGTGTCCAGTGTCTGAACAATATTTAGCACCTAGAAATTAATACAAAAATGGGAACTCTTTAAATTAAAAATGACATGGAAAATCTAGAACATCAGCTGAAAAATACTGTTTGAAACTTGAATACGAAAAGCTGATTGCAGTAGTAGTTGGCAGAATAAATGGTGGTTTGATTCCAGAAATTTTGGAGTCAACTCTGAATTTAAAATGCTGGTAAGATTGATGTGAAAGTTTACCTGCACAAGACACAGTACAATTTCTGCAAAATTACTAGGAGGGTTGATGTATTACCAGAAAAGCAATGACATCTTGGTTACAGCCAGCAAAACTGAATGCTTTTGTTTTTACATTGGGTTTTCAGGTTTTACACTCACCAGAGTATATTTTGTACATGATTTCAGTGACAAATTGCTTAAGAGAAACAGCAAAATGTTCTATTTGAGTGTGCGAGGCTGCTGCTGTGGTAACTCTGGTTAAAGTGTTTCAGACACGGACAGCTAAATTAATTCACTTGGCTAGTGAAGATGTATTCTATCTATCTCTGCTTGTTAAGTTGAGCTGTTTGTAATGTGCAAATGCCCATTGAGAGGGGAGCTTGGTTTACTTGTTGGATTTGATTTTTGCCACTGCAGAGATCCAAGTTTACCCCTGTGTTTTTGTTTTTTTGTTTTTTTTTAAAACCATGGCACAGGCTTTAGTCACTTTTACAATATTTTTGGGATCTCCCCTCGTTTTCCCCCTCATATACTGGAAAAGTGAGCTGCCTCCAGCCATTCAGTGAAAAGTTTTCTCCCCATAATAGCCCCTTTTCCTCAACCCCTCTTTCTCTGCCCCTCAGCCCCAGTAATATACAACTGCTGGGCTGCAACACTGCAACTTCAGCTGTCATGAGTATATGGTGGATTGAACTTCTACTGCATTATTCTTATTAGACTAGAGAAACCATTTTTAACAGAGAAACTTAACTTATGGTAACAAATATATTTTGGTGCTGCAAGCTGCCGTTAAGCATGCACAGGTATAAATCATCACCAATTAGCTGCTCGTTCACACGGCCCAACTCTGTCTTCCAGCCAGTGCTCTGCCATGCCACAGAATTATATCACAATCACCTAGGAAGCAATTTGAGATTCAGCCTAATCCCTATCTAGTGCACTATATAGTTCATAAAATAATGGATTTTACACCCAAATAGTGTGTTATATGACAAATAGAAATCTATTTATATTCAGCTGTTAGCTGCACAACTCCCTATCTTACGTAGCACTCTTTGTGTACATCTAATGGGTAGGAGATAAAAGGACAGTAGAATGGTAGGTGAACCTTAGAGCTCTACCAACACACAGATGTTTCCTGACCTGTGTAGTGCACTATGTAGGGAGTAGGGAGCCGTTTGGGAGTCAGACATAGTATTTGAGGGTTTCTAAAAACACTACACACTACCATCCATGCTCTTCGTGTAATAAAATGTGAGGTACTATAGCCACCTAGCCTCTCGACCACTATGTAAAATCTTATCTGGAGCTGAGAGTGTGGGTCTGACAGCCCAGCTCTGAGTGTGGTACTGTGGTTCTGCAGTTTGACCCTCCGGCCTCAGCCAGCACCTGTAGCGTTTTTCTCTTTAGTCCCTGAGGACAGAAAACAAAAAAAGCTGATGTGTTTACACAGCTAGCCCTCTAGTGTAGCTAATGTTAGCATCACATAATGAGTTACAAACACTGCCTGTCAGGTCGTGTTGGACAAGCGAACTGCCTAAATTTAACCACAGAAACCATTTCTAGTGATCTACAGACACAAATATGTTGGTGCCTCCAGAATCGACTGCTTCAAAGTGTTTGGTACCGAAGGAGCCTGTTGTGTTTCGTTTTTATTCATTGATATCTGTATGAATTGTGGTGTGTGAGTGTGTGTGTGTGAGTGTGTGTGTGAGTGTGTGTGAGTGTGTGTGTGAGTGTGTGCCTGCGTGCGTGTCCTGCGTGCGTGTGTGTGCGTGCATGCATGCATTGCTGTTCGTGTGTTTCCATGTGAAGAGCAGAGGTTGACTTTGGCTAGTTGTGTAAAATTGCTGCTGTGACCCTGTTCTCATAACACAGATCTCTCCACTGTGGGTCAGGCATTCAAAAGCAGTGGAATTTGGACAGAAGTGTGCATATTTAGTCAGGTACTTTAAGAAAAGAGGCCTGGGATAGAAGCCCATGAAAAAAATGTATTATACTGTTGTATATTGTCAGAAAAAAGGTCCTGTCCAGGTAATGTTTAGTCCCCCAAGTTACAAACAGTGTAAATGGACCCTCAAAGGTATAACATGGTCCTTCTGGTCCAATTCTTACCTCAAAGTGGAATTCTGCTCATTTTCCAGAATTTCTGCATAATTCAGTCACTGAGAGTGGTTTGATGTGAAATAACTGTAGAGAAATTCACCAGCACGGATTACTTTACCACGGTAGTGATAGGAACCAGAGCTTGCAATGTCTACAACTTAAATATATCCAATTTATTTACTATCCTAAACCACCAGTAAACCTACACATCATTGTAGAGTTTTAAATGTGACATTGATAATGCTAAAATAATGTGATTTCTCAATGCTGATGTGGCATTTATTTGATATATAAAGAATGTAATCTAACAAAGCCAATGTGTAAATTTTGAGTATGTTTCAAAAACTGACTTTTAGAACACACATGGATTGAAATATAGATGACACATCAGTCACTTTATAAATATTACTCTGATTAAAAAAAATCAGTAATAAGCACTTACTGATCTGAACTGCTCTCTGAATGAGCTTGCATGAGGGGGAAATGAACTTGCATGAGGGGGAAATGAATTCTCAGAGTGGCTCACCAGCGAGACACTGGCACTCGATTTTTTTCTGACATCTGAAAAGTTGGAAAAGACAAAGTAGTTCTGCATAAATACTTCAAAAACTGTGAATACAGTTTTTTATGTTCATTTCATGGACTATGCTGCACTGAATCCAGGTAAACAGCACTAATTATTCTTTCTTTTGTAATGAAACGTGCAGTTGGGAAGTGTTTCATAAGTACTGGTGATATCCATGATATGTTCAGATATGTACCGTATTGTGACATATTATGCTATAATTTATCACAAGAGCAATAAATATTGCCTTATTGCCCAGCCCCGGGTAAACTACGCTCTACGCACATTCCACATCTTGTATTTATCCATTTTACAATCTTAATTAAGTCAGTTAATGACTTACTTAACATAATTGTGGAGAGAATGAGCGAGAGACAAAGTGACACATTGTTCTGCTTGGATGACCATGGACTGATCACGTCTGACCTCTGCCAGTGAATGCTGGGAAGGCCAGATCACTTTTTATGCAAATTCGCTCATATTTATTCAAGATTATTCATACACTTGTTTGGACCTGGTTAAGTTTGACCTCTGGAAAGGATAACAGACAGAAGAAGGTGAATGTGTTTGTGTGTTTGTTTATTTGGGTGTTATTATGCTAATACACTGTTTGACAGGAAAAAAAAAGAAAATATGTATCTATTACTTTGTGTCTAAACAGGTCTATTTTTAAGTTTAATGGTGTCATATTTCTGTAGGTGAAATTCATTTGTGAATCAGAAAAACAATTACAAATTAGTTGAATAGCATAATAATTAGTGTTGTAGTCATACCAGTGATGACTAAATATTGTAGCATTACTGGCTGCATTACAGGAGTTGGTAAAACTGAAGAGCAGAAATGTTTGATCACGATACTCATTTCATGTTTTCAGAGGAATTCTCCATTTGTTCCACCTAATATCTGTCCTGAACTGTCAGTTACCATGGGGCAATCATTTTAACACATTTCCCTGTACTTAGAAAAGAAATGAGAACTGTTGACTTATAGCAGACTTATAATTAAGACTTTGGGGCATTTGGTGAATTCTGTGAATAAAGGTGAAATACAAGATTATATAATGCAAATTTGAAAGTACATCCATTTGCAGTCTAACAGTACAGGAGCTATGATGAGATGAGACAACAAGAGTCTCCAGTTCCAGTTATGCACCCCTACAAAAACCTAAGGAAAAGCCAGTGTAAGTGGAATTGCTTGCTTATGAGGTTTTATCTGAAGTCTGAACACTGGGACAAATTAAACAAGCAATTCCAGTTACATTGACTTTCCCTTAGGGTGTAGGGGTGCATAATTGGAACTGGCCAAGATCGGAATCTGATGATTTGTGTTCCAATAAAGCAGTCAGCACTCAGCTAATTTGTTATTTAGATTTTGGCCAATTTAACATTTAGGTAGCATAGGATGGGTAAGTGCACCCATGTTGTATTCGAATGCTGCTGCCACACCTGTATCAAAATGTTGTCTGATAGTGCTAAATAGCCAGATTCCTCTCACTTTGGATGTGCCACTATTTGATTTCTTGTTATTTAAATAGACTGAATTTTCATTTAAGAATTTAAAATGCCAGAGTTCAAATCCTGGTTTTGAGCAAGGCATTGGCGGCGCTGTGCTGATGACACATTTCCCTCGTAGGATCAATAAAAGTATAACCTAGCAAAAAATAATAACAAAAACTAATAATATTTGGGCAAAACATTAGCCATTGGTCTGTCTGCCTGTAAAGAAATTGGATTCTGCTATAAAAATTCATGATCAGTGTACATCTGTTTTTCTGATATCCTTTTTAGATCAGGCTGGAACCTGTGATAACTAAACCCACACAACACTGGTTATAGATTGTCACAAATTCTTCCCTCTAGAAAACTAGTCTCGTCTCTCAAGTAACTAAGTACACAGATTTACAGCTTCATTTGCAAACGTCTTTGATGATGGAATTCCTGAACATTTCCTACAAATATGTTTTGCCTGAATGTTTACACATTATAAATATTTCAGCTCAGTGGGTTTTCTGTTCTTTTCTAAGCACAGGGAAACGTTACAATCATGACGTGTAAACAGTTGCTCAGGGATTAGGTTGAGTAATGCTGGAACATTCTTTTCATTTTTAGTAGGTTTGGAATACAACCAAATGCAAATATCTCTCACATGAAATGATCAGATTATCTTAACTGATCATACAATTCATATTCAATTTATTTTTAACTTTTTCTGTGTGCGTGTGTGTAGAGTGTCCATTGACGATGGCAGCTCAGTTAGAAGGCTGTGCAGAGCTCATTAAGGTGTTGAAGGGTGGAGGAGCTCACCTGGACTTCAGGACCAGAGATGGCATCACCGCTCTCCACAAAGCTGTGCGCACAAAAAACCACACAGCGCTCATAGTAAGTTCACAGACAATATACACATTCACAACACAGAGATGAAAATAAAGGTTCCTGAATGTTTTTGTCTTGGTTATGAGAGATTATTTTATCACACTTTATTTTTGAAGTCCCATATCAATTGTCTGCAGATGCTCAAGTTGTTAGGCAACTATCTGGTTTGCGTTTAATAGACATTTAGTTGAATGTTAATCACACGTGTTCTGCATTGGACTCTCAAGATAAAATGGTACCTTTTCAAGCCTTTAAAGCTTTTCAAGCTTTTAAATTTTGTGGATTTTTTTTTCTTTAGAGAACCATTCAGTGAATGTGTTTTTAGGAAACCAAAAGTGGTTGTTTAAAGGCATTGCTTCAAAAAAAGCCTTTTGCTTCCATTTTATTTCCTTTTCATTTTTATTTATAAGTGTATATACACGTAGCCTGTGTACAGTAAAGTCAGAGACAATCTTTTCATTTTTCAGCATCAGGAAAGTGTGCATAAGGTATTAAACAGAAACCCCAACAACCAAATAAAATGTGAACTTTTTCAGTGTTTAGTGTGTTCACTCTTTGGCTTTGTTACAGCTTTCATTCTTTCCATGAAAACTTTTTCAGCTTTTCAAAGACATTTTTCCACACTTCCACAAGTTGGTCTTAAAAGCCTTAGAAATTGGTTACATTTGCAAATTTTCTTCTTTTTTGTCTATTTTCTTTTTCAGTGATGTCTGCTTAACAGCTACATGTCCTTTCCGACTGTTAGTGTTGAGTGTCTTCTCACAGTGGAATGGCGGACAGACGCACTTGTAGATTTTTTCAGATCTGGAGCAACAGTGGAGCTTGATTTTTCTCCTCTCTCTCAAAGAAGAAAGATTTAAGTTTTGTTTATCTGGTAGTAAGAGATTTGAAACATCTCTTGAAAAATGACCATTTTGACTGGAAATCATAGAAATGAGGGGTGCTCTCTGACTTTTCCACAGTACTGTGCATATATAAACACACAGAAGATCTTTCTAGACCAACGTCATTGCCCTTATGTAAATATGAAGGAGGCTTGTGCTTCTGAAGAGCTGAAGCACAAAGAGAGAAAGAGAGAGAGATTCAACTCTAAATTCTGAAGGCTCTTATTGAGTGAGAGGAGAGGTTTGTCTGCATGCTGTTTGAAGGTACTGACCTAAACATGAATAAAGCATCATTTCTCTAAAAGCATTGCTTACAGAGAGCTCTAGCTAAGTCTTATAAGAAGCACTTAAATACATGTGAACAATGTATTTATTTGGATTTTTCATTTAGTAAAGGCAAGAGTGGGTCTAGAGGTTGTTGAGTGGACAGTGCTTAGTTGTGTGAGTGTTGTGTGCATGTACAGTCTGTGTCTCACCTTCTCTCTGCGTGCGTGTGTGTGTGTGCACAGACTCTGCTGGACCTGGGTGCGAGTCCGGACTATAAGGACAGTCGTGGTTTAACTCCACTGTACCACAGCTCCATGGTGGGGGGGGACCCGTACTGCTGTGAGCTGCTTCTGCACGACCATGCTCAGGTGGGCTGTGTGGACGAAAACGGTTGGCAGGAGATCCACCAGGTAAGAAAAAAAAATCAGAGATGGCACAATAATTTCTTTTTCCAATGCTAATACCCATGTTGAAACCTTCAGTGTCAGCCAATATCAGTCTGATACTTTATCTTTAACAAATACATAGCTGTAAAAAGCACCTCATGTACATGGCTTGTAACTCACACACACACATTCAGCAGGTTGAAGATTCTCCATTAAGAGGTTCTATTAGCAGTCAAGTAGATTTTTGTGCTTCATGTGAATGTCACTGTGAGCATTTAAAAGTAGACCGTCATGCTCAGATTACACAAACGCAAGAAGTACACCGCTAATAACATCACACAATGTAAGTGCTAGATATACCAAAGAGTTGGATTGAATTTGTTTCTTTTTATCCCTCCAATATCTGATCCAGCACTTTCTGCTGATATCAGCTCAATACCATTAATATAATTAATACCGTTATGGCATCTTGAGCCAAAATAAAACTCTCTGCATGCTTGCATTCGAATAAATAATTCATATTCTTAACAAAATAATGAACTCAAATCTAACTGTGGTGAAATTTGAAAATTAATGATGCATTGATGTCTTTTCGAGAATTAATTCTTTACAAGATCATTTTTTTACTTTTTCTGAATTAAAAATATTACATAGTGTATTATTTTTAAGCACATCTTTGTTTCTAGTTAAGGATGACATTTTTATGTATGCTGTGTTCTTGCGGCATTACAAAATGTGTTAAACCAGTAGTATCACAAAACATGTACATTTTTGATCGTGAATGAATGGAAGCTAAAAACTAAGCCCTTGAGTTGACCCTGTTTCTTTGTGCCAGCAGCCCTAAGACTGACCTACTCTCCACTTTTGTGCTGTAACTATAATTGGTCCACTCTGTACTTGAAATATCAGGCCAGACAGGTTAGTGCTTAATTATCCATTAGCCAAAGCAAATAAAAGACACAGCCCTAATAGGCCCTGTTGGATGTTTAGAATAATGTTAAATGTGCTGTAGTAACATCATATTAAATTAAAGACTAGACTAGTGATATAATTAGCTAGAAAAAACAGCTGGATTCTATAAAGGTTCTAGCTATCTATACTGCAGCAGCTGTGTGTGGCTTAGCCGGCGCAGATGGATGTGCAGTCTTGAGTTTTTTTTTCCCCTCTTCTGAACACTGATGTTTGTCAAGTTTGCAGAAATAACTTGAGTTAAGAACTGCTTCTTTTTGTCAAAGGTGAAGTTAGATGACAGATAACCAGACAGCTAGTCTTACTGACTCAGTGCTAGCACGGTTACCACCCAGTTGGTCTGTCCTGTGTAGGAAGTTCCACCAGTTTGCAGGGAGCAGTGCCAACATAACAGTGATCCTTCTAGGTTGCAGTACTGCAACATCTGTTTTTGTTCTTACTATAACACACATGACTCAGCTCAGGAGTTTGGATCTAGATGTAACTTTCACAAGACTCTCACTTTGAACACCTTAAAGTTAACACCTCTCCGTGTTTCTTCCTCATGCTGTTAGGAAGTGTCACAAAAGTGCCATGGAGGCAGGATGCAATTGCAGGTTTAGACATTATTAAACACAAGGTGAAATATTTCAATTAACAGTGATGCACAGAAACAAACATTGATGAAATACTGGAAATATATACAGGGAGGCTAGAAACATCTGGAAACAATAGCTACAAACTACATGTTGGTGAGAGTGATAACAAGGTATTGGAGCTGGGACACAGGATGGGGGTAATTTTTGCAGGGCCAGATCTTGTAATGGAAAGTATATGTCTGGGGACAACTTGCTAGACGTTTAGTGCTGGACTGCAGCAAAATTCACTGCTAACAAGCATTCGCTCTGTCTAAAACCCGGCCCCAAATTCTTACTCTAAACTCTTGACGTCCAGTGTAATTGTTAACACAAGTAAACAAGCTAGCTTGTGAAAAGCTGTCTTTAGCTAGTGGAACTGTTTTTCTCTTGTAAGAGGTAATATTTAGTTTTACTGTATGCAGTATATTCTTCACACGCTGGACACACACACACCTAAATGGCTAATTGGAGTTTTCGCAATGCTAACTTACGTTACATTCATGGGCCAACGACAGGCTTGTTGTCAATCGGACAGTTTTGACAAGTGCACCATTGCCCCCTACAGGGAAGAAGTGACAGGGAGTTGAAGACGTGACTGCTGAGTTCTTCTATGAAATTGCTTTGTGACAATGATTGTTGTTAAAAGCGCTATATGAATAAATTTAATTAAACTGAATTTTCATAAAAATCTAAATGGGCCAGTTGAATCTTCCAGTCATAATGTGGAAACTGATTTTCTTCATGCTGTACATGGTGATTCTCAAACCAGTCCTCCACTTTATCTAATCTCCTAGCTCACCTGTACTAGATAGTAGGTGTCCTGTTTGCTGGGATTTGTAAGCAAAAATGTGGGCCATCTTGTGGGGGGGGGGGTTTGAGAACCAATGTCATAACATGCGATTCACCTCATTAAACATAAACACTAAACTGTGCAGTGTGGTGGCCCTGCAGGACTGGAATTGCCCATATCTAGTGTAAAGCCAGTCAGTCACGGCTTGGAAGATAACACTGCAACTGTGTAGTTTCCTGTCAGTGTTAGTCAACAGGAAGCTAGAAAAACACACACACACAGTGTGTAATAAGCAGTGTGTGACAGCGTGAATAAGTGAATTACCACAGGGCTATAGCCTACGAGATGATGTTTAAGAGATTGTCTCCATCTCTGACCACATTCTGAATCCTGGCTGCAATCCAGGCACACACACACACACACACACACTTTCACACTCACACTCTCACACTCATGTAAACAGCTTCTCTCAGTTATCAGCCTGTGCGTGACATTCACATTCTTGACCTTTTCAACAGTGTGTGAGAGAGAGGGAGACTGAGAGTGAGTGCACACAGTGTTTTGGCTATAGGGCTACAGTCTGTGAAGTATTAACTGATGACTGTGAGGGAAATAAAACTGTGATTAGTCTGACAGAGATCAGAGAGAGTTTGCCAGATCACTCAGGGCTCCACTGCCAGTATTTGTCAACCTCTCAGTCTTTCTAAATGACAACTAGGGCTGTAATAATACATTGACACAATATATCACAGTGCAAAAATGTGAAAATGCAGATCATGGAGATCATATCACTTACATTCTCTTAATAACGTCGTCTAATGCAGTTGCATTGTTTGCTTCGTCATCATAACATGATGACAGGGCAGCTGCTTGTTCACATGATGTAGAGAAATAAAAATCAACAAATGTTGATTCATTTTTCTTTGGAGAGCGGCACTATCTAAGAAATGTGGTGGTGGTAGCTGTATTATTACATGTTTTACTGACTTCCTTTTAAGAGCTCTGATAGGCATTCTCTTTCACAGGTGCATGCTAAGAAGTAACTAGCTCTGGTCATGTGAACAGTTACACCACCCACATACACATTTTCATATGAAATCAAGACAACATATGATGTTCAATTAAGGCCTGACTTCCTGGACTGTGGGATGAAGCCCAGTCCTGGACTACATAGAATTCTGAATAGAAATTTCCATTGAAAGGGAAAAAAAATCCCTGACCAGTAAACAGGTCAATCAAGTTAACCACATAAGCATGGTCAGTATCATACGACACAATCCCGACTTCCTGAGTGTATTATTCCCTCCATACTGATTACACATTTACACGTCCACAACTTAGTCAGCTAACATGCTTCATTAGATATTCCACCTCTTCTGACCTCCACATGTTCTCCTACAGCTAAAGCCAAAAGTACTATAGCTCCGTCTTGAATGGCTGAATGCTGCTTAGTCTTATTTCAGTGTGCCGTGAGGAAAGAGAAGAAGAATAGAGTGAATAAAGCTTGGATTCTGTGCTGTGTTTGGGAAAATGCTGTTGGCTGGCTGCAGTGCTGAGGCCCATCAGATTTGGTAATGGGTGCATAGAGAATAGATGGCCTGGGGTAGAGTACATCTGAGTTAGAGACACAGCAGCAGCGTTAAGTGAAGAGTGAGTGTGTGCGTGTGCGTGTGCGTGCGTGTGTGTGTGTGTGTGCTCTCTATGTTTACAAATTCTGACCTGAGGCTGAGGTGTCATTCCCTCAATAAGATCAGGAAGAAAATGTGACAGGTGGACTATTAAACATTGTTGCTCTGGTTCTTTACATTCACTCTCTCTCTCTCTCTCACACACACACACACACACACACATTATTCCTCTCAGGAGCATTGCCCCTAGGTTAGCAGAATCTTAGCAGTGCTGGATAGAAAGGTTTGAAGCACTGCAGGGCATTGTAATTTTTGTGTGTGTGCGTGCGTGCATGTGTGTGTGTGCGTGTGTGTGCGTGCGTGCATGTGTGTGTGCGTGTGTGTGCGTGTGTGTGTGTGCGTGCGTGCGTGTGTGTGCGTGCGTGCATGTGTGTGCGTGCGTGTGCATGCATGTGCACACGCTTAGCCTGTGTGCATGCAGGTCATGCATTATGTGCTTTATGTATGTAGTCAGGGTTGGGATGTAGCAGAATACAAGCGTTGAATACATATTCAAAACGCAGTAAAAAAGTATGTATTTAGTCCACGTTTAATAAAGCCAGTATTCAGAATACAGTTATGTTTTCAAGTGTTTAAGCGTTAAACTCTATTGAGGGATGGTGGAACTGACCAGTCTACTCAGTAATGGACATCTTCACAAGTGATAAGCTTAGCATCGATGTTGTATTAGAAAAGTGCTGTGCTTTGTGGAGAGTTACAGACATGGCATTAACTGAAAATCACATAGCTTCCCACTTTATCGTCAAATTGGCAGAATTTTGTTATTGGGATATGAGTAACTGTTTGCTTTGTTGATGTTGACGGCTGTGAGATTGTGGGAGCAGCAGTGGACTGAGGCAAGTACTGAGAGCCTGAATAATGTTAAAAAAACTTCATTTTAATGAGTGAATTTTTCATGACACATACTAGAAGAATTACATGAGGAAAACTGACCACCAGTAACAGCGCAAACAGTGTGAATTAAATAAAAATTGCAAGAGCACACCCATGTGGCTTATCAGTTTGTATTCTTCTTTTCCCCAATTTTCTGCCTTAGTTTACTTATATTCAGTTTCACCCACTAGTTAGGACTCCCCCAGTCACACAATACCACCAGCGCAAGGATGACAAAGGCTAGCACAGGCTTCCTCTGAGAACTGTGAAGCGCCACCACATCTTTTCGAACTGCTGTTAGCGCAACATCATTGGACTGCTGAATGCGTTTGGAAGAAAGCGGAAGGCTCCTGCACTGACTAGCATCATGTTGAGTGATGGGCGGAGAAGGGGGCGGTCCATCCTACCCACCCAGAGAGAGCTAGGCCAGTTGTGCGCTCCCGGCCATGGGTGGCTGAAATCTGAATGTATTCTGAATATGTTTTTTTTAATGTATTGTAGATGAATATGATACTGAATACATTTAGGACACTGTATTTAGTATTCCGCCATCATTACTTTTCCAAGTAAGCCGACGAAACTGGGTTAAAGTTAACGAAACCAAAGTACTGCCAAACATGCTATTGTAAATATACTTAAAAAGAACTCTTTGTACATCTCAGCACTGCTAGAAGCCTGGTTTGTGCAGTTGACCAATCACAGTCAGGGGTAGGTCTCAGAATGAGTGATGTGGTGATAAGGACCAATCTCAGTCCTTACCTCAGAATGAATGATGTGGTGATAAGGACTAATCTCAGTCAGGGGTAAGTCTCAGAATGAATGATATGATGATTAGGACCAATATGCAGTTAGAGGTAGGTCTCAGAGTGAATGATGCAGTGATTAGGACCAATCACAGGAAGGGGAGGTCACAGAACAAATGACTCAGTGATTAGGCCAAAAAGACATAATTTACGTTTGAAGTACAGTGACAACTTAAGTGTAGACAGGACAGGAGGATGTCTTTAATATCTGTTTAAAGACAGTGGGTTGGCTGGTTGGCATGTTAGTGCTAACATAACGGCAAAATCCTATGGGTGTGCTAGAAATTTGAATTTAGCATTGTTGTAATCATGGAAACTGGATAAACAAAGGTTGCTTATAAAGTGAAGGTTTAAGGCCTTTACACACAGTGATTTATTTGTGCAATTTTTTTTCAGATATCTGAAATTTTTCCTGATATCTTGCACACAGTTTATCAGAAGTCCAGAAATGCAGCATTATTTTTATTTGATTTTTGCGAATTTTCACAAACACCATACCCTTGCTCAACCAGTCACTGTTGTCTCTGGTTTTGGTTTTGAAAGCATTGAAAGAATTAGTTTGTCCTCTGTTCCATCCTGTGTGGAACTGTATCTCCAAAAGCATCTCAGACTGGGCTACCAGCTTCAGAGCTGTATGCAAAAGTGCTGAATGTGGAGGTGAAACTCCCCACATTGCTTTCACTTTTATGAAATTGAAAGGAGTCTGCCTGATGTTAGTTTGCCTGTTTTTGATGCTCTAGTCATTTGTTTGTTTTTGTTTTGCGGAACTAATAATATGGCAAAATTCCAGATTAATCAGGTTGTGTCTGCTGTGACTGAAAAAAATGTGCTAATGTAGTCAGTTTAATATGGTCTGTGTTTTTTCTTTTTTTTTCTTTTTCTTTTCATTCTTCATGAATTCGCATTTGCTGAAGCTGTTACCACTTTGTCTGGACTTAGCGTGTCTGAAGCCATGCTATGGCAACTTCAGTGTATGGAACAGGATATGAAGCCTGGCTCAGTTTACAATTGGAGACATTTTATCCCACTGTAACCCAGCTGCTCTTGAGTCCATTCACACACATCACATTGTTACATACTGTGTCATTCTCTCTCTCTCTCTCTCGCTCTCTCTCTCTCTCTCTCTCTCTCTCTCTCTCTCTCTCTCTCTCTCGCTCTAGCATGAACACCTCTTGTGCAGGTTTTTCAACACTTTCCACAGCTCACACTTCATTTGTATGCAGGAAGGCCATACTTTGAATAATAGAGAATCGAGTAGTGTCATTGATAATACAAAACAATTTTGGTGTGTGTTATATCAGCAGTGAGCAGAGTGAATGGTAAAAGGAGAGAGCAAAAGGGCAGAAGCAGAGAGAGAGAGAGAGCAGATTGCAAATTCTTTGCACAGTGAATGTAACTTATTAGCTTCAAATGTGCTTCCTAACAATAATAATAATAATAATAATAATAATAATAGTAAGAAGAGGAGGAAGAAGAATGATAACTTCATTTTAATGAGTGAATTTTTCATGACACATACTAGAAGAATTACATGAGGAAAACTGACCACCAGTAACAGTGCAGTGTGAATTAAATAAAAAAGCACACCCATGTGGCTTATCAGTTTGTATTTTTTCCCAGTTTTCTCCCTTAGTTTACTTGTATTGAATTCCACCCACTAGTTAGGACTCCCCCAGTCACACGATACCACCAGGGCAAGGATGACGAAGGCTAGCACAGGCTTCCTCTGAGAACTGTGAAGCGCCACCACGTCTTTCCGAACTGCTGTTAGCACAACGTCATTGGACTGCTGAATGCGCTCGGAAGAAAGCGCCAACCGCCAGTTCTGTTACGTCAGCTAACAGAATGATGCATCTCAAAGTACTTCACAGTAAATTTCATTTACAGTCAAAACAGCATATTAAATAAAAGTTGTTCATTTTTCATGGGATATTCCTAAAGAGATTAGATATAGAATATACATTTTTATTAGAAAGGGGAAAGTCAAAGGAAAATAAATGGGGGGAAAAATGGAGTTCAAAAAATGATTAAAGGATATAGAGAAACTGGGACTCTGGCAGACGACCAAATCTGTCCCCATCAGAAAAGTACTTAATACTTTCACCTTTGAGAGAGAGGAGATAGTCAGGTTCCACTTTTGCTTCAAGTATGAAATAATCCACAGGTGTGTCTGTTCATCCTTCCACTGTGAGAAGACAACTCAACACGATGAGTCTGACATTATGTGTAGCTGTCGAAGACGTCACTGATAAAAGGAAATAGACAAATAGAAGAAAAACTGCAAACAATGAAGCTGCCAGTGTTCTGAGAACAATGGACTGACCACTCCAGTGTCCAGACCTCAGCATTATGGAATGTGTGAATTGTGAGAAGCACAAATTGCAACAAATGTCTAAGACTGAACTTTGGAAGTGTGGAAAAAATCCCTGCAGATTCCTTTGAGAAACTGAAAGCAAGTCTCCAAAAAATGGGAGCTTTAAAAATATGATGATAAATTTAGTTGTTGGGGATTCTGTGTAGTTTTCTGTTAAATATTTGTTTTCTGTTTTTTTTCCTGACCCTAAAAAATGAATTACTTAAATTTATTTGCTATTTGACTGAAAATAAATGAATGGTCTCTGACTTTTTGCATGCTAATGTCGATAAAACAGTATAACAGCATATGGCATAAATAACACTTTTGTCTAATAAAAATAAAAATTTAGAATTTAAATAGAAATTAAAAAACAACACTAAAAGAATAGCTAATAAAATGACAATCTAAGATTGCAGACTTGTATAAAAATGCGTAGTGTTATTGTTTTGAGCACTGACCTTAGCTGCTTCACCACCCACTCGTGCTCTCTTTTACACTCACTCTTTTTTTTCCCGTGTGTGCATGTGTGTGCGTGTGTGTGTGATAAGGCCTGTCGTCATGGTCATGTGCAGCACCTGGAGCACCTGCTCTTCTACGGAGCTGATATGAGTGCGCAGAATGCTTCTGGAAACACTGCCCTACACATCTGTGCCCTCTACAACCAGGTAACACTTACAGACTTACAATAACATATATATTTATTAGTCTTCAAAGACTGATAATGTCTCCTTAAATTATGTAAATAAACATATTCAGGAATGTGAGATTATTTGTTTTATATTTACTTTAGTGGTGTCAAAGTTAGCTTGTTAATAGCATGTTGCTGCAATATCTAAAGCATCTAATATAATATATAAAGCATCTGTAGTTGGACCCAGAAACCTAGCTGCTCTGGTGCTGTTGCTATGATTTCACCACTGTAGCCAGCTCAATCATTCAAATGAAGCTTTTAAGTGGCAGGAAGTTCCACTGATGGCTCTCTTCATAAAACCAATTTTTTTTGTCCAGCCTCTGCCATGGTGAATTAGTTCATCACCGAAGGATGTTGAGACTGAAATATCATTTACAAACAAATCACACAATTAATGCTGGCAATATCAGTGATACCAGTGACATTAGCAGTGGAGGAACCCTTTATATAAAAGATGCATATATTTTACAAATGCAACACACAAACTCATGTGAAGTGACTAACATGTTAAAATTAATATTATAAATGTTTGTTCCTCTTTTGTGTGTTTGTGTGTGCGCTGTGTGTGTGTGTGTAGCACATGTAAATGAGTTATGTGATTTGTTCAGCTGACTCCAATCATGTGCACTGACCTGATTCTCTAAAGCATTGCACTTCTGCTGAAGAAGAAACACGCAGAACAGTATCTGGTTTTGGGTGTGTGTGTGTGCGTGTGTGTGTGTGTGTGTGTGTGCGTGTGCTGCGCGTGCGTGTGTGTTTGTGGTTTACATTAATACTTAATAGCAGCACAAGTGAAGTGCTACTCTACACTACATAAGTCACTACATGCAATGACCTACACATTACATCACTCTGTGTGGTGTATGAACCTGACCATTTGTTGGTGTGTGATCATGAATGTAGGGTCTTTTCTTCTTATTAAAATTTCAAAACACAGTACACACACAAGCTTGCTTTTATAGAATATCAGGATCTGATGTCAAACACAGAAGTATCTATATAACACAAGTTTCTCATATATATATATATATATATATATATATATATATATATATATATATATGCACACTGATGTGCCAAAAGTAAAAATGTAAATTGATTATGAAGTGGCGTTACCTCAGGAAACAGCTTGGGAACGCCCACATCTGTATAAGTTGTGGACATTCCATTTCCAAAGTCTTTAGCTTCCATGAGATATGGGAGCAGAAGAGCCACCAGAGTGCCTCTGTTAACACCACGACACCGGACACAGTGCCTCACCTGGGCTCGTGAGGTTGCTGACTTGACCCTTGAGGACTGGCAACATATGGCATGGTCCGATGAGTCACGGGCTGACAGTAGGCTTCATGTGTGGCATAGACCCCGTGAAGCAGTGGACCCCAGTTGTCAACAAGGCAACACCGACAATGATAGGATATTCCAGCAGGATAATGCAGTGTGCCACTGGGCATGTGGGTGGCTCTCCAGACAGCATGGCTCAACATCCATCGAGACGTCTTTCATCCACTTGTGGAATTGATGTTGCGTCGAGTTGCTGCACTTTGCCAGGCTAGAGGGGGTCCAACATGATACTAGTTCCTGTCCTATGACTTTTGGCACATCAGTGTTCACACAATGTCGAGGACAGCTGCTGAGCTCATATTATGCAGAAAACTAAAAAAAAAAAGCAAAAAATGAGACTTTTTTTTTTTTTAGATAGCGACTAATATGCGTGTGTGTTTAGATGTATATATTTGTGTGTGTGGACTGTATAGTAGTAGTAGTTATTTTTCTTCTTTTCTTCATTTACTCTGCTCCAATGAGATTACACTGGAGCTGACCCTCACTAATGTAACATCCATCCTGGCTGGAGTCACATATATGTGCTGATCAATAACAGAGCTAAAACAACACACCAACAGTAGTACAAACAAGCAGATGTTCTGTTCTCTCGGCCGCTTCTCTCTATTACAATGAGCTACACCGCTGAAAACACAGCTCACGTAATCCAATAACGTTCTGTTGAGGATACGAACAGTGTGGGTTAAGCTGAGAACGTAAGAAGTATGACGTAAAACAGCCTACAGTCATTTAATGTGTTCTCCTGTCTTTGAAGTACACAATACACCAATCAAGGACACTTATTCTAACTGGCTAGTGCTGTTTTATACCGGTTTTATAGCTGTGCTATATTCTCTTATTGTGTTGTAAGAGAATTTATTTATTTCATCAGCTCACTCTATTCAGCTAACATACTGAGACTACACGCACATGTGCATGCAGACACACACACACACACACACACACACACTAGAAGCTATTATACATCACTCAGACAGCACAGATGTGTGAGAGCAAAGTGCTAGTATTAGCAGAGACAATTCAACAGCCCCGAGAGCTGCTGAGAGACAGGAGCTGCTAAACAAATATGGTGTGTGTTTGCACAAACAGTGTGTGTTTGTACTTTAAACACCTTGTGTGTGTGTGTGTGTATGTGTGTGTTTCAAAATGTTGAGGACTCTTAGCTTTTTAAACTGTTTTGAATCAATAGCGTTCTTTGTAATACAGGCCCTTATCCCCTTAAAACCTAAGGGCCTGTGTGCCAATTTTGTGAGGAAAGGATTTCAATCTAGTCTGCAGGTTCTAGATAATGTTAAACTACCTTTGGGGAAAAATGATTTTAGTATGTGCTTTCAAAAATAGTATTTAAAAGAAAACTCAAATCATTATGTAGGCAAATTCTGCTCTTCATACAGAATAAATGTAAAGTATGATTTTTTGTATGTGAAAGTATTCAAATGTCAAAGGCGGATCTCAGGGAGAAACAATAAAGAAGGATACGGCCCTTTAATAGAAAACTAACAACAAAAATCAAGTGTTAATTGGAGTATTCAAAAAATGGCAAGGTGTCCCACAAAACCTTTTTGACTGTGTGTGAGTGTGTGTTTGTGTTTGTTTATGTGTTTGTGTTTGTTCAGCAATAATGGAGCTTTAAGGAGTATAGGGGAGTGTAGTAGATGAGTGTTTAGTTGTGGATCAGTTCCAGACAGTGTCTGTGAGTGGGCCTCAGCAGCCTCAGCACTGGGGGGTAAAGACACATTACTGTAGTATCTGACTGAGCCAGTGGAAGAAGAGAGCGAGTGAGAGTGGAAATGTGGCTGATATTGAAGAGAGGAAAGCAGCTCCTGAGGAGTGTGTGATAGAGAGACAGAGGAGAGAATCACACTCCTCCCACCAGGGAACCAGTCAGGAGAATACACCACTTGATCAGGAAGTGGAGGACTGTGTGTGTTTGTCTGTGTGTGAACACTGTTTATTAAAAGTTTGGGGACACTTGTCCTTCTCTGGGAAAAAAAAAATCTCCATGTATGTCCATTTTTAATACAGTGCAAAAGTCAGAGACCACCCTTTTTCTTTGAAAAACAAAAAGCAAGTCTCTTGAAAAGAATGAAAGATGTAATAAAAGCAAACGATGGACACACTAAATACTGAAAAAAATGCTTCTGTGTAATTTTCTGTAAAATATTTTTTTGCTTTTTCCTTATGTTAAAAAAGGAGTAATTTATACTTCATGGCTGTAAAGGGTGGTCTTTTGCATTGTACTGTAGGTGTCCCCATTCATTTTAAAGACAGTGTATGTATTGATAATTTCACAGAGGATGAAAGGGAACTGTTTATGGTCAGTGTTAATTATTGTCATAAGCAAACTAATTGTGGCTGCTTTACGGCCCAAACTACCACACATGTAATCTAGCAAAGAGGCAAGGCATGCTTGTTGTGTGTAGTCATTAACAGTGCATCATACATTTACGATCTTAGCATGCACCATTAAGCTCAACTCAGCCATGCACACACACACACACACACACACACACACACACACACACAAACAGGAAGAGAAGACTGAAGCATAGACAAATAGTGCGTTCACTCTCTAACCTTAGAGGCACAATTCTTCACTCCTACACATTGACAAACACTGTCTCTGCCCAGGGCCAGCCCATCCTTTAGAAAGATTTTAGAATACAATATTCATTAGTTCAAAGTCTTAAAAAAAAACAAAAAAAATAGTTAATGATGTGATTATTTTTGTTTATTTTCATTGATTATGCCCACATTAATGAAAAAAAAATACAAGAAAAATACAGTTATAAGAGAGGAACACTATTAAAAATGATAATAAAGCAGTAAAAATGAATATATATTCCATATATATCAATGTTCATTGTATATTTATCAATGTTCATTCCATATATATATCAATCTTTGTTCCACTGAGATATAGTGAATGAACATTGATATATATGGAATGAACATTGACATACATGGATCGAACACTTAAGATAAAAAAAATGAATACTCTAATTTATAAAATGTTTTGTTCAGACAGAGAGGGACTTTTGGGGTTGTGTGTGTTGTAGCCTTGGCCCTCCCCCACCTGCTAAACAGACTGTTTATGTTGTTATTTAATGCTGTTATGTTGCTGTTCTTCAGTTACAGTGTGTCTACAGTGTGTCTACTGTGTTTAGAGATTATATAAAAATATACAAAGGTTTACAACCTTTTAAGAAGTGTGATCATTGAGAACTGACAATCAGTCAATAAAGCGCTGTTAAACTAAAAATCATATAGTATGAACTATAAAATTGATAAACTTTTAAATACAGTATTATATTGTCTGGTGTTATTAGATAACCAAATATTTAGCCCCATAAAGTTGATCTCAGCCATAAATTTTTTAAATCGGTCAGGCCCTAAAGTGCCATAAAGTGTTCAAATCCAATCAGAAATAATCCACTTGTACAATGAATACATTTATATATTATAGCATTAATACATATGTTTATGTATTAATGCTATAAATGGGGGCAGTCGTGGGCTGGAGGTTGAGGAACCAGCCGTGTGACCCGAAGGTCACTGGTTTGATCCCCTGAGCCGACAGTACATGACTGAGGTGCCCTTGAGCAAGGCACCTAACCTCCAACTGCTCCCCGGGCGCTGCAGATAGGGCTGCCCACCACTCCGGGCAAGTGTGTGTTCACTATTGTGTATGTGGTGTACGGATGGGTTAGACTGCAGAGGTGAAATTTCCCTGTTGTGGGACTAATAAGGATCTCTTAATTTATGCTGGATGTTTTGTTTATCAGAGTTGATTACATTGATGATACTTGTTTTCAGGAGCTCGGCTCTATGATGAGGACCATCACCACTTAAACCAGCATTCCTGCTCTACTCGTTCATTGACACAACTTGTTCCAAATGAGCTGCATTTGTATGATTAAGCTTAGTTATTAACTATGGGCAGTCGAGTTGAGCTTCATTAGTGATTTTAGTTACTGTGGTTAAACACTCTCTGTAGCGCTCTCACTCTGAAAGGCCTCCTGCGTTATTTAGTAAGCCAGTTAATGCAATGAAGTATGCAGTTACAGTAACTGGCTCTCAGGCCTTCTCTGTCGTTGCAGTAGTAGTAGCAGCAGAGAGACTCAGAGTGCTGCCATTCTGAAGTTTCAACAGTAGAGGGCACCTATTGACTGTATCTCTGATATATCTATATTGTCTGTAGTGTAATAGAACATGTTAAACTGCATATTATACGTGCCTGCCCTTTGATGCTGTCCAGTGCTACAGACAGACTCTAATGTGCTCTTTATTTTGAGTGCTATTATTAAATGAGTCGTGCAATCATATAGATGAATGTATTATGGGAACCTACTATGTGTTATTTCAGAAGAGAGAGAGAAAGAAAGAAAAAGGTGAGATTGTGGGCAAATTGGAGGTCTTTATAGTCTCAGTGTGATAGAGCAGCTCAATCATTATTCTCTTAATTCAGTCTGTGGCTGAAATTACATATTGATTTTTTTAGCAAGGCATCACCAGATCCTACAGAGTTAGTCAAATGCAGACAGCAGATGTGACACATCCACACCCTTACTGTTCATATCTTTAACATAGAACAAGGTCAGCCGCTTTATTTCAGCATGTGAGAGAGGCCGATTTCATTAACACTACTTGAACCCTGCTACACAACACTGACATAACCATGCTATAAGTATGTCATTGCAGATGTCATATGCTGTCATAATTTGACAGATTATGTCCAGTAATATATCAGTCACATGTTTTTACTCTAGTCAGCCGTCATGACATCCAGCAATATGACACGTCATGACCATTAATGGTAAACAGGTCACTGCCATGTCATTTAACATAATCTATCCTGACCACTCATGACAGCATATGACATCTGCCATGACGTGTTTGACATGTAGTAGGTTTCAAGCAAAGTGTTATCGAGATTTCTTATGCTTTTGTAGTTGCAGAGATGCAGTTTTGCAATGGTGTTGTTCAAACTAAATGGTCTTTTTGCTCATTTATTTATTATTTTATTTATTTATAACTTTTATTTATTATTATTCTTTTAATGCTCTCAAACTTTGTAACCTACATTTTGGTAATACAAATGCAGCTTTATTTTCCACAGCAAAAAAAGCCCCCTGAATTGAGCTAATTTGAATTGAGCAGAATTGAATGGAGAGATGGAGCATGAAAGCATTAGAAAGAGCATGTGTGATTAGTGATTAAGCATTTAGACTCACACACTGAGGCTTTTGAGGAGCAGGTGGAGACTGCTGTAATATTCCCCACTAACTACCACAGTTAGGAAACTAGGACACAAATCCCAGCAGACGTACGCTCACTTTAAACACCTCTACTGTGTGTGTGTGTGTGTGTGTGCGTGTGTGTGCGTGTCTGTGTGTGTGAGAGAGTGTGAAAACGTGGCCTCTGCTCAGGGACAGACAGACAGCATAGAGAGAGTGAGGGAGAGGGGCCAGATGTTGGCTGCTCTTTCCTGGCCTTTTAAACTCTCACTGCTGCTCAGCCGCCCAGAGAGAGACTGTGACATTAAAACAGCAGCATGATAGCCTCTCTCTCTCTCTCTCTCTCTCTCTCTCTCTCTCTCTCTCTCTCTCTCTCTCTCTTTCTCTTTCCTCATTCTTGCTCTCTCTCTGTTTCTCCCTCTCACTCTTTTGCTTTCTTTCTTTTCTCCCTCTCTCTTTCTCTCTTCTCCCTTTCTCTCTTCTCCATCTCCCTCTGTTTCTTACTCTCCCTCCTTCTCTCTTCATATTTCTCTTTTTGTGCTCTCTCTCTCTCTCTCTCTCTCTCTCTCTCTCTCTCTCTCTCCCCCCTCTAGGATAGCTGTGCGCGGGTTTTGCTGTTCAGAGGGGCGAATAAAGAGATAAAAAACTACAACAGCCAAACTGCCTTCCAGGTGAGAACAAAGCCTCAGCGCTCCTCTGAAACCATGTGGAGCTCACTCAAACAGATTGAACCTCTCACTGCGTGCCATCTCTCTGACACTCCACTGCTTTAACCACTGGGCCAGCTCTTCCCCTGATTTGTAGACCCTAATGCTCATCACGTTTGATGAAGTGTTATTTTTGGGAATGATACCTTTTGAATGCTCTCACTGAGATATGAACACAACTGCAGAATGCCGCTGATAAGCCTGACTAATCATTTCAGCAGGGGCCTGTCTGAAGGTGCGTAAAGCCTTTTTTTAGCTGCTGACATCATGACACTGAAGGAAACTGCTGTGCCCCAGAATCTGAAGCAACCGCTGATCTTATCGTGGTGCTAAAACTGTTTATCCTTGTTTGTTTTTTTGTGTGTTTTGTAAATAAAAAATTGTTGTGCTTGTATGTTTTGGCTGCTTAGCTTCCATAGATGGACACTCAATGAAGTAAATAGTACAAACACAGCACACATGATCACTTGAACCCTGAGACTAAGTGAATAAACTAATCAGGTATGCTCCTGCTTTTTATGGAATGAACACCTGCTGCCACGTTGGCCCTTGGCAGATAAGACTGGACACCCCTCATGTAAATGTTGAAGTTTCAAAATGTCCCATTCACTGGATAGAGTCTGTATATGGAAATTAAGCAGCAAAAGCAGCCTGTTTTGAAATTATTATGGTGATGTCACAACCATGGCCACATTTATATATGCCTGCCTATTCGACCTATAACCCACCCATTAATGTTAAATTGATGGGGAGTGTTGGTTTGCAGACAGTCTGTAGCTATTGTCTGAGTTATTGGAATGAAAGATGGTGGGAAAAATAATTAAATGCTGTACTGTTCATGACTGTTGAGAAGAAAGGGAACAAATCCAGATATATGGCAGAAGTGGCTAAAGTTTGTTTTTCCAGGGTCATTGAGGACTTTAGTCTGAATTAATAGTTTCTTCCACATTTCTCTCTGGACAGTCGATGAGAATGGAAGTCTTCACACAGTCCTACACATCACATCACATCAGTCCTAAAGTAATTAAAACAGCTTAAAAAAAGCAATTAAAAATAGTCATACAAAAATAAGTTGTGACTGTATTTGATACATAAAAACTGTACTTAAGTGTACTTTGAGTGAAAAAAATACAATACAAGAAGAGTGTAGAACACAGGCCTTTTGAGTTTTATTGGTTATTACCAACTTATTTTTAACAACTTGGAGATTTTCAGCTTTTCAGAATTCCCCACTGTCTACTGCCAGCAAAGGTTGTGGTGGGGGGGCTTGTGGGGGTTATGTCTATAGACTGATGGTTAAGTGCTATATGAAGCTGTACATGCCAAAAGCATACTCATGTTGCTGTGTGTCACCTCAGGCATGGCACACATAGCCAGTGCTTCCTGTTTGAACTCCTGCTCCAATTGACATTGACACAGATTTCCAGCACAGATCAAAGTTAATTTGTTTGTACATAGGGATGGGGGGGCAACATGGCGCTGCTGCACAAACCAACAGAGGAGCCATTAGACAGCTGCCAAAGTCAGATGCAGCCCTTTAACGAAGAAAAGCTAATTAGCCCTCATGTTCAGACAGAACAACGGAGAGAGAACAGAGAGAGGAAGGGATGGAGAGGCAGAGAGAGGCAGAGTGTTAATTGTGCCGCTGATTTATGTATCATTAGTGTGACTCTGCCATGTTTCCATACCAACAGTAAACTCAAGCTGTATCTACAGTTGCACTCCCTTAACCCATGTTGCAGTATTCAGCGTTCTACTTTATAATAATGCTTTAGACCTACAGCATTGTGTAATTTGAATGTTATGCAACATCGTTGCAGGTGTGATCATGTGAATGTGTGGGTGGCCATATTTGGAGTAATTAGTTGCTAATTGAAGACACTGGCACAAAAACATGTGCCTCATTTATTGCTGTTTCTCTTTATTTTCTTTAGGTGGCTATCATAGCAGGAAACTTTGACCTGGCAGAAATTATAAAAGTTCACAAAGCATCAGATGTTGGTAAGTAAACTGAATATCTCCCTGTTTGGACTCTGATGGTCTGTCTTCACATACATTATACAGTCAGATGATCATTGTGTTGATGCAGCTAGAATGTATCATGACACAGACACTAGCAATTTAAAAATGCACTGATGCAGCATAATACATTGATATGAAATGCATCAATATTGATATTTTAAACTCAGTTATGAGAAATAATAATACAACCCTGTTTCCAATAATTGGGATGCTGTGCAAAGTGTAAATGTGTAAAAGTGCAAACAGAATGCAGTGATGTGCAAATTTGTGCACATTTAAACCCTATAATTAAGGACAACGTATCTTTTAAATATATACTCGTTTTGAATTTGGTGCCAGCCATGTTTTTCAAAAAAGTTGGGACAGGGGCATGTCTACCACTGTGTTGCATCACCTCTTCTTTTAACAACAATGTAAGCATTTGGGAACTGAGGAGACCAGTTGCTGCAGCTCTGCTCAGGCCCAGAGAAGGTGGTGGTGTTTCTGGATCCTGTTCATATATGGGTTGTTTTTTTGCATGGTAGACTTTTAACTTGCATTTGTGGATGCAGTAATGCTCTGTGTTTACAAACAATGGTTTTCAGAAGTGTTTCTGAGTCCTTGCAGTGATTTCCACTACAGAATCACGTCTTTTTAATGCAGAGGGCCCAAAGATCATGACCGTCCTATATTGGTTTTCAGCCTTGTCCATTGCATACAGACATTTCTCTAGATTCTGTGAATCTTTAAATGCGATTGTGTACCACAGCTGATGAAATCCCAAAGTTCTTTGACGTCTTTTACTTTGAGAAATGTTATTCTTGAGTTGTTCTGTTTTTTTCTCCACATGGTCTTTCACAGAGTGGTGAGCCCCTCCCCATCTTTACTTCTGAAAGACTTTCAAAGTCTCTCTGAAATGCTCTTTTTATATAATAATGTTACTGACCTGTTGCTAATTAATTTAATTATTTGTGAGATGTTCCACCAGGTGTTTGGTTTTTTTTAGCATTACACAACTTTACCAGTCGTTTGTTGTCCTAGTCTCAATTTTTTAAATGGACATTTATTTAAAAAAAATAAATAAAATGTAATACGTTGTCTGTACCATTTTCAAATAAATATAGGGTTAAAATGATTTGCACATTATTTTCATTTTGTTTTTATTTACATTTTGTACAATGTTCCAACTTTTTTGGAAACAGGGTTGCCATCCATTCTCTGTGAAAAGGCCAAATGTCCATTTCAACATGTGCAAGTTTTTTGGCCAAAAATACAATTCTCAAGCTAATTTCAAACGGAACAATAGTTTAAAATTGTTTTATTTTCAGTATACCTCTACTGTATTCCTCTACTTCAACACTGGATTCACTAAGACTGTAGCTTATCACACAAAGTAACAGCTTGCTCGTGAGGCGCAGGCTTTAAAAGGCACAGTGTGATAATGGAGATGTGAACAAGCTGGAGCAAAACAAAACCAGTTCTTTCCCACTAAAACAGTCTACAGGGGCATTATTTTATTCTGTCAATAAATTTTGTGCTGCGTCTTCTCCCTCATGTCCATCTGGTTCTAAGAGTTTAAACAGTGTTATTCTGATTGGTAAACATTGTTTCAGCACATGTTCGAGGCTTGTTCCTCCTTCTAACTGCTGTGACTCCTGCAATTGTTAAAGTGTCCCACCATGTGTTTTGAGATTCTAATGCAAATTCACACTTGGGTTTAAAAGGCAGGCAAAAATCTGCACAGTACCATCCACTGTGGCTCAGACTCAGACTTTAGTAAATGGAGCAGAATATGAAATCAACTGCATGTGTTATAGTTTCACCAACTTTTTGTGTGACCCTCCTATGTTTTGTACTGCCCTCCCTTAAATGCACATGCATGAGAAAGAGAAGCATGTTTTGTTTTTTGCTAGGCATACAGCCAATAAACAGCTTGTTTAGGCTTGTGCGGCAATTTTGTGGGGAAATATGCATCTGATTTTGGCCTGAAACTTAAACTGTTGTAAAATTTGAGATTTTATTATGCGCTTAGTCGTTACTTAAACAATAAAAAATAAAATCTAATTGTTGTGATGTCAGAAACTGACCACACTTAACAACCACAAACCATAATGAATTCCATATGCATTGCATGTAGGTTGTGTGTTAAGACGTTCACATTACAAGCCTCATTGTTCACTTCAGATTTATAGCTCAGATCCAATGTGTAGGTTTGTGACTCAAATCCATCATTAATGTGAATGAACTTGTGTCCTGAAATGACCTGCATGCGCACACCCTAATCCAAAATCTCACATGAATGAACCACAAGCATCATAAACAACAAACTAACCAGCAGAACAAGCCTTTCTCATGAAGGTAATTAGCTCTCAACAGTTCTTAGCTGTTCATTACTAAATGGAGAGAAAAAAAGGGTCAGATGCATAGCTTTTGTAGCATTTACTGACACTAACTTTAGGTTAGGTGCTGCTCCCACGTTAACGTTGAATGATAGAATGTGCACAGTAACAAAAAAAAAACATGTGAGTGAGCATTCTCGTTAAGGTTGCATGGCCACAAATTGGATATTATCATGAAAGTGGCTCAGGTCAAACCTGAAAAGATCAGATCTGTGTCACATGAAGGCAGAAAATGGGGTTTGTGCCACTTCAGCCTGGTAATGTGAACATAGCCTGAGTTAATTCTAAGGCTAATGCTCTAGCCACCAGTGCTGGTGTATTCAGCAAGCTGTCGCTGAAGGGTCACATGCATTAGTGTTCAGTGCTAGTATCGTGGAGCTGAGCTGAAGCAGCATTTACCTCCCAGGCTTAGACAGATGTTGGTGATTCCAGCCAATGACAGCCCAGCAGGACACTCCTAAAGCTTATCTACTTAACTGAAACTTAAACCCTCTGGAAAACTAGCCAAGCCTTACACATCGTCTTTCAGAGGGGAAAGATGGTGTTTCATCATTAGAATTCATTGATGTCACACTCCTCACCCCTTTCTCTTCCTCACGCCTGTATCTATTTTCTTGGCTCTCTCAATCTCTAATTTTCCCTCTTTCACTACATCCTTCACTGGGGGGGAGAGAGAGAAAGAGACTGAGTGAGTGTGAGTGAGGGGTCTCTGTGTGTGATTGGACATTTGGCCTTTTCACCGGGAATGGATGGCAAGTGGAGGAAAAGATTTAAACCCATTTTACAGAGAGGCCTTGAGTGGATGTCTTCACTTCTTATTTGGCCTCAAGAGACCTCACTGCAGAATTCAGACACCAGAAACAAATTGCTCCTCTTTGGTGACACACTGTACACTGTTTGTTTAGAGGGAAAGTAATTCTTCAGCTGATTTGGCTTTTAATGAGTAATTGTTATCTACACAATTTGGAATATATTCAAGCTTTGACATAAATATTCATACTGTACTTCCACTAAAACTGTGAAAGATGTACTTAGTGTTTATTAATGTTTACTTTTAAATTACATTCTATATATTGATGTTAAACTTATTGTGACCCATATTGTGGGAAAATAAATTTCCCTTGCTTTTTTAAGTAAAGGGGTTTGAAGTCATTTGCAAATATTGTTAGTTTTATAACTGTTCACTAAGCTGGAAAAACAGCCTATTTTGAATTCAGTGATTCTGTGATGTCACAAACTCACTTAAATTTATCCACCTGTTCAGTCTACAGCAGTTTAGCCTTTTCCATTCATGTTGAAGTTCTAAGGAGTGTTTCAGCTCTTGAGTGCTTTGTGAATACAGGACAACCAATGAGAACAGAGCTCCTTTATCTTATCAGTCTTGAGGATACAGTAATACAAACAGCCTGTTTAATTCTAAGGCATAGAGAAAGGTTGGAAAGTGGTCATGTAAAAATGAATTATGACTTATCAATTATGAATTTTTTGTACACACATCCACGTAAATGATAGGTGGACCCTAAGGAAAATTAAATGTAGGATATGGGCCCTTTAAGACAATATTCAAAGAATATTCCAAATATATAAGAAATTTACCCTGAAAATTTGCCATTTCACATTCAAAAATGACTTAAAGCCTTCTTTGAATGTGCTTTCTACTAGTTCACCTGGTAAGCATATGGAGTATTATGTAACGTACACATAGCCGGCTATTTCTATCTCACTGAAGTCAAAGTTTAAAAGAGAAATGCAAGATTATTGCTGGCGGACTGGCTGGATTTGAACTTAGCAAAATAAAATGTTTACACTGTACCAGACTAAAGCGAAAAAAGCACTGAAACTAATTGATTATACATGCAATAATAGGGCTCTTAGTCTAACAGTTACTTCAGCATGGACAAATCAGGTTCTCCCTGTGATGTTATTAGAACACATGGAAAGCCAGAACCAACTATACGGTCCTTCAATCATGAAGCAACCTACATCTTCAGAAGACACACAGTAGGCACCTTCATTACATGTTAGAAACAGTGTGAATACAATCAGGTTAAAGAAGATCAGCTAGAAAATAAAGATCAAAGATATAAAGATATATAATAGAAATTATCGAGACTTTATATCACCCCAAAGAAAATACATTTTGAACTTCATATTTTTGAGAACTGTAGTCTAAATACTTTGTTCGGAACATCTAAACCACATAGCTCACGCTGCAGAAGACAGCTGACATCATTAAACTGAGAGAAAGCAGTGATGAGAGTGCATTAGAGGAGTATAGTGATTGGCAGGGTAAGCACACAAAATGTACTGTACTTAAAATTGCTTTTATTTGGTGACTCATAGTTTGACTCACATGTTTTCAGTCAGTCATGAGAGTGAGAGAGGGAGTACTTCAGTCAACTAAATGGTTACAGGAATTAGTGCCATCAGTCATAAGAACTTTCTCTGTGGCAAGATGGTAGTGGCTGCCTGTTGCTCTGATTGGTTGGAGCTGAGATCTATTCAGGTGACAGCAGTGTTTTTACCATAGAACATAGCCGTTCTTCATTTCTCCTCAGATCATGGGGAATCAGTAATTAGAATGGCACCAGATCACAAAGGTACATTTCCATAATGACAAACTGTGTTGCAGTAATAATGTATGAATGGTAGAGCTTTGAAGTTTCACATTTGATGCAAGTTCTCATGAAATGACTTAAGATAACCGAATTAGTTGGGGCATTTTCTTGGGAGAACATAAGAGAGCTGTGAACATAATTATAGCACAGAGGAAAAGGTAGATAATGCCACTTAAATGCAAAATTAGTACTAGAGTAAAACTGCAAAAAAAGACCACCTAAGTTCCTTATGGTTGAAGTTCTTAGATAAAAACTGAAAACTAACCAGTTCCAGTTCTAACTAGATAAAATGGTTGAGTGTAGTTTTTTTTTAGTTTAAAATGTGCTGTCCTGCTTTCCATTTACCCCTTTTATAAAGCAGTAACCAGTTTTACACTCTGAATGTGTCCCAAATGTAGTTGATCATACAAGACATGTTTGATGTCTGAAATTTGTTTCATTAGTTTTGCAGTGGAGCTATAAAGCTAATGCTAACAAGTAATGGACGTTTGTACTGCAATAACTTAGTTAGCTTAGTTAGCTGGACAAATTTGCCACTCAGCACAGGCTTGGTTCCAGCTACTAGTGCTAAATGATGCCTGTTTAGAGGGTGTTTCCAAGTACAAAGTTGAGTGACTTGTGTTAGACTGAAGGTTGAAATTGAATGTGTTCTCTGTAACTCTTAGCTGTTGCTGAGCCATTATCACGCTTAGTTTTTCCTGGCTCTGATTTTTTTCTCTTTCTATCAGAGGGCCCATTCCACTAGTATGTGAGCCCCTGTAAAATATAAATGGGTGGAATGTGTCATCAGTTTTTAAATACCAGCATAATACTTAAATACTGCACACAGTTAGCACGATGCTAATTGGTGGTCATACGCTTCCATTACTACATTATCAGTGTAACTTCAGAGCAAATCTCTGAATCTTTCTGATCATTTGCTTTCATATCCTGAGAAACGACATTTTGAGTTCTCTTGACGTTGATCCAATCTGAACACTGATTGTGTCTTTCAGTGCCTTTCAGGGAAACGCCCTCCTACACGAACCGCCGGCGTGTGACTGGAGGTGGGACTCTGACATCATCACGCTCGCTGCTTCGCTCCGCCTCCGACAACAACCTGAATGGGGCAGAAGTTGGCCCCACCCATTCGCCCGTGCCCTCTCTGCGGAGTCTGCCTCCTCTAGCGCCCCCCGGGGGCGAGGCAGCAGACGGCAGTCTGCAAAGCACAGGCAGCTCACGCTCTTCCCACTCCCGCTCACCCTCCCTGCACCGCGTCAGCGAGGAGCCCGACATACACACCCTGCGCAGACACCCCCCACTCCCACACGGCCACAGCCGCGGACGCCTCAGGTGAGCATCCAATACCTCGACACAATGATAACACGCTGTCATTTGCCATATATTATACTGCTGTAAACAAAAATTATAGGATTGCAAATGTAATACAGTGTATTTGTTAATAAGGCCACATCCTCTTTTTGAAATGACGGTACATCACTTTCTTTATTAGATTAACAACCACAAGCACAGACTTACACTGCCATTAAAAAGGTTAGAATCGTCACTGAAAATTTTACAATCTGTTTTCAGTCTATAAAATGATTCTGTTTAACTTCACAGGTTTCAGATTTGTATAGCATCAAGAATGCCTCATACTGCAGCAAAGGCCCTTATATTAGAACAACTGTTGATTATATATGGAAGTGTTATAAATGATAGGATAGCTTGTTTAGTTGAAAGAATCATCACTTCATGCCAAGCTTGCATGTCAATGCTCTACGAACTGCACTGCTTTTCACATGACCATTAAAGCTAAAAGAGAAGAGATGCCTAAGAAGTTATTGAACAAGGAAAATACTCAGCACAAAATTTTATCTTGGCTGTAAATATGTCTCAGTGTGTGCTGTTATACTAGTACAGGCTAAAAATATAAACGAAAATGCAGACTTACTTTGCTCTGCTTTAAGCTTTAGGTCAGCTGTAGCCACTTTTCTCATATCTCAGTCAGGAAACTTTTCTGCGAAAGTAGAGTTTCTTTTAAAATGTCTCTCAACGTTTGGCTTTTTACGAAGTCGCTTCTCATTCACCAGCTTCTTGTTCAAATTGTCCCGCTCCACCTTAAATGATGCCTGAGGGGCCAGAATGTACTGCTGTGCCATTTGAGGTGGAACGGGAAAATTCGAACAAGATGCTGGAGAATGAGAAGCTGACTTCAGCTTCGCGACTTAGTGTTTGACAGTTTCTGGTTGCAGATTAAACATATCAGGAAACCAGCTTTAGTGTTTTGTTTTGTTAGCCACTAGCTAGGTGAGACTGTTATCTGCGCTGCTGTGGCCAGCAGTCTGCACACCAACCTTTAGCATTGGTGAATTAACAGTTATTCATTAACTCCAGCGTTTAAGACCATTTATTGTGAAAACTGTGTTAGAACTGTGTGTTATAACGATCAACAGAGCTTCATTTTACAGCAAAGGATGATTGTTATTTTACCTAAAAGTCTGGTTCTGCTGTGGAGCCGCAGGGCAGTAAAAGAGCCACGTGTTGCTGACCCCTGGCTTAGCTAAAGCAAAAAAAGCATTTTCATAACAGACTATTACTAACAGTACTGCGCAGAGCCAGGGTCACTGATAAGAATTTTGAGGCTGAAGTGTTGCTGAAGTTTAATTTAAGACTCTGAATGTCATGTCTGTACATATCTTGCTGAAATGTTTGAATTGAAGCAGTTTTATTTCAACAGTTGACAGTGCTTTGCACAAAATTGTTTGGTTTGTATCCAGCTATTTTTGTTGATTTTTGTCAGGAAAAACCTGGAATGATTGACTTTGCCTTTACTTAGTCGAAGTCTTTGTTGGATATCATTCTGACAATCGTGCTGTGAAAGTAGCTAAAAAGTAGTGCACTACTTTTCAAAAAGTAGCTAAAAAGTAGTGCGCTACTTTTCAAAAAGTAGCTAAAAAGTAGTGCACTACTTTTCAAAAAGTAGCGAAAAAGTAGCCGCTACTTTTTTTCTGGAAAAGTAGCTAAATTGTAGCTAGCTACAAATTTTGGGAAAGTAGCTACAAAATAGCTAGCCACAATTTTTTTCAGTAGCTATCCCGACCCTGCCATGGAGTTACAACACGTTTGATGAATCATTTCAGTTTTGAGAACTTAGTGATCATCACCATCCATCATCTGTAACAACCCTGCTTAAAATTATGGTTAATTGTGAAACATACAATACTGTGCAAAGAGACCTCCCTTCATTTGTTTAATTTCCAGTCAGAACGACCTTTCAAGTGTGATGAAATAAAGGTAATATATATATATATATATATATATATATATATATATATATATATATATATATATATTTAACAGAAAATGATACAGAAGCTTCAACAACCAAATATAACATAATTTTGTCAGTATTTAGTGTGTTCACTCTTTGCTTTTATTACAGCTTCCATTCTTTTCAGGAGACTTGCTTTCAGTTTTTAAAGAAATCTGCAGAGATCTTTTTTCACACCTCCAAAGTTCAGGCTTGGAGGTTGATTGCACTTTCTGCTTCTCACGAATCCCAAACACACTTAATAATGTTGAGGTCTGGCCTCTGGAGTGGACAGTCCATTGTTCTGGGAACACCAGCATCATCTTGTTGTTTCTTTTTTACATATGCCCTTTCAGTAGCACCCTCAGTAGCAGCTTCTCGACAGCTACACATCCTTTCAGACTCAGTGTTGTTGTTTTCTCAAGGATGGACAGAAACACCAGTGGATTTTTTTCAGATGTGAAGTAAGAGTGGAGCTTGATTTTCTCTGATCTCTGAAAGATGAGGCTTGAAGATACTGTTTATTTGATGGGGACAGTTTGGTGGTCTATCAGGTCTTGCACTGTGACAATGAGTTCTGTATTCTCTATATCTTTTAATAATTTCTTAACTCCAGTTTTAGAAACTGCTGGTTCTTTACATATCTTCCTTTGACTGTCTCCTTCCTCATATAGTCGATTATCTGACATCTAATCTCCACAGAAAAGAGTTCTGAAAAATAAGTAATCTGCACTTGTAGGCCATTTGGACTGGAATTAAACAAACGAAGGGCCTCAGACTTTTGCACAGTGCTGTAAGTATTGTTTTAAGAGTGGTTTTGAGAATGAGTGTTCAGGTACTCATTCAGAAATATCAATACATTATTCAAAGCCTGTAAAATGCTGGATTAAGATTAAGCCTGTAAAATGCTGGATTAAGATTAAGCCTGTAAAATGCTAGATTAAGATAATTAGTGTTACCATTTATTAACTTATACTTGTACCCAAAACACTTAAAACATTGAATAACCCATCTTAAATTGCCCCTAAATATCATAATATGTAAATCTGCATTGTAAAAGTTATAATTGTATATAAAATAAAATAACAATATGATACTTTTGGCCTGTTAATGCTAGAATGGAAAGAAAGGCAAACCTTGAAGCTTTAGTGTTGTTTTTTTAAATCAATTCTGCAATGATATCTTCTTAAATGGCCCCTCTTGTCCACCCTACCTTGATAAAATTTGCGGTTGTCGAATTAACATGAATTTGTGAGGGCTGTAACTTAGACATAGGAGATACATGAAGCACTGTACAATCTGCACATTGCTTCCTACTTATGATGTTGTTGAAATATTTAATATATATTCAGATGAGACGGCTTTTCTCCCTGCCTTTGAACTACAGGGCATGGCGGGATAGACTCGCGACAGA